TCTCGTATTCCTGTTTCAGTCCACGAATCGAAAGGACAGAGGGCATGGGGAAGACGAGAGCCAATGGTGGATGGTTTAAAGACACTGCACAACCCCTGTTGGGATGGCCGTTTGAGTTAATAGCGTTTGAATTTTGTTTCAATTTTAAGGGCAGCCGGCTGTCAGTGACTCAGGAACCAGCTGCAATTGCAACTGTGAAACATTTCGGTGACATTGAAATTGCAGTTGAATAAAATATTAAAGCGGCTGTTTGGGTGCGTGATTTTGTTCCTACCGGCCTAATGTCCTGCTGCTGCATCTGCAGCTGGTAATGAGTATTACGTGTTACTTCCTACCTTCCTAAAAATCAATGATTGAAAAAACCAATCACACACAGTACATCTCTTTGACACTGGAACACTCTGTACGCAGCTGCACGCGACCGTGGTTCCGTGATCAGATTTGCACCCGTGTCTGAGAAAGCTTTGAAGCATTTGATCGGTCCACCCTGCACGGATCAAAGGAGAGCTGGGGGAAACCCCGAGATTGACACCATTCGGGATCAAGGATGGCAGCAGGACGTGGCAAAACCCAGGGACTGGAATGGGTGTTTTGCCATGGCTCTCTGGGCGCCGCCTGGCCGAGCCTCGCAGCGTGGAATCGCACACACGGGTGATGGGTTTCCAATAAACATGACATGGAGCCTTGCCCCCTGGAAAGATCCCCGGGTGCTTCTCGTAAGCGCAACACGGGGCCCCTCGCATTTACGTTGGGAGCCTGGGTCTCTACTTCAGGGCCTCTCGTTCCCCCACCCGCGTGATCCTGGGTGGCTGGGCTCGGTGCCAGGCTGCCTGCCCCGCCTGGCCTTTGCTTGGCTCCGCAGGGCCTGGGCAGGAGCTGGCGCGGCGCTGCCCACCCTGCCGTGGCCAGGCCACGCACCAGGACACCCCCCCCCTGCCACATTCCTGTTCCCGGTCCCTGAGAGAGGCCTGGCGACAGGGGTGAGACGTTTCCTCCACGCCCTGCTGCCCAACTCCTCTTATAGCCAGAGCCATCCTGGCCCCTCCACCCGCAGCCCCCTGCTCCTCTCTCCCTGGGGTCCCAGCCAGCCTGAGTCTCCTCCCAGCTGGGGGCTCAGATGGAAATCCCCTGGCGCTGAGCCTGCCCCACTGAGCCCCGGCTGCCCCCCAC